TCAGCACAAACTTTGCATTGTTAGAAAAAGCTGCTGAAAGAACCTATAATACCGACTGCTCCGATTTTTACTGCAACATTCAGAATTTTTATCACCCTACACAGAAAATTCAATATTTGAGTAATTTTCTTCTACCGCTTATATCTATGCAGTGTATGCTCATTAGAAAGCCGCTAAGAAGCCCTGTGTAGAATACGAGTCGGTCTTTCAGGCAAAAATGAAAGCACGCAAGTCGGAAAAAACCAGAAGTTTTGAATTTTTGATGATACGAACGAACTTTCGGGCCAATCTAATAAAATGACCGAAGTTAAAGTAATTTTCTTCTCCTTCTCTCATCTTAGCTAGTCCTTATTAAAAAGCAGCAGAGCAACTACCAAAAATAGAAGGGTCTCCTCTATATAGCAAAATTAAGTTTTGCAAATCCGTTGAGAGAGCGAGAGGTTATGTTTGTTTCAAAAATGATGCAACAGAACTTTTGCATTAACCTAATAAAATTCAGTGATTAGTAAGTTCATAACACCCGTCTCGGACTTGTTATGCAACTAAGGAAGGCTGTTTCACGTACGTTGAAACGGCTCCGTTGGTAGCTCCCATGTAAGGAGGCCAGCACTTTTGACACTTTCCTTGTTAGTGCAGTTCGAATTGTTAAGCCGCTCGGTAAATACTTTTGGACTCCGTTGCTCCAAAATCGTCTGTTCTTCCGAGATTTTGAGCTCCCAGTCAACTTGTACTAAGGCTTTAGGTCTTATTAATCAAAAGACGAGGTTTTCCCCATTTTCACGCTAGGGGCAGTTCATATCGTGTTTCAGGGGGCCGGAATAGCCTCAAATCTGCCAAAAGCCTGAAGTTCGAAATCTGCCGAGCCGCTGCCTTTGATCTAAGACTCGGCTTCTGCTCAGAGGTGCGATAGGTGGAGCCCGGCCCCCAAAAGTGAAGGTGGTTCCAGTTACCACTGGCCGGCCAAAAGTGAAGGTGGTAGTGCCGGACACTCACCTCCATACCCTCGATACATAGAGCCATGTACTCTGGTAACCTTCATTTTATGAGGGGACACAACCTTCACATGGAAAAAAACACAAGCCATCCGGGGCGAAGCCCCGGATGTTATTATCCTGACTATATCGGAACGAGTGTTAATGAAGCAAATATAGGGAATAATATCTTTAGCTTATCTGAGCGAAACCGAGAATTGCGTTTTCATAGCCTTTTTGCGTTAAAAAGAGCGTTTCTATGGAATTTTCGCCAGAATTCAGGACAAAGTTTCTCAGTCAACCTCTCATTTGAACAAAATCGAGTTTCAGACGTTTAGGAAAGCTATTGGATTTAAATAAGGACGAGAAACTGCGCTTACATCCCGCGCAAAGATTCGCGCACGAAAACGCTGGTATGTCTCGTTAATGAGTGATTTTCAAAGCTTGGGACGTTGCCAGTTCTCCTCGTCTTGTCATGACGATCAGAATGATATATAATGTTGAAGGATTTCGTCGAGACCCCGCGGAGATTTACTACCAGAGCCAAATGCCCCGTCGGCTCTGGTCTGTCTCCGCTGCTCGTCTGCGTCTCCGTGCGCTGCGCGCTATCTCGCTACCCCAAACGCGGGGCGCGGGGCATTTGGCTCTGGTACCCTTTTCTTCGCTGTTTCGAACCCAATTTTAGCAAGCTATATATCAAATTGAAGCTCTTGATCTCTATTTTTACGCTGACAACGTCCCAGAACCATATTTTTTGATTTGATCGAAAAATCCGGCAAAAACCTTGTTTTCGAAGACCTCTTGTTTCTCTCCTACTTTGACTATATTCACGCGGTTTTTTCGTGCATTCTATGAATCTTGCTTCTGTTTATAATGCAGACAACCACCCAGCCTTTATCTCTTCGATTATTGTGGAAATTTTTGCGAAAAATTGTAAAAAGTGCGTATTTCTTTACCTTGTTCTGTTTAAGTGCCTTCGCATCGATTTTTTCCAGCTTGGGCGACTGTCGCTCAGAACAATAAGCGCAACAATTTAGACAACGTCCCAGGAAACAGAAACGTCAATGCGGGGGTAAAAATTCAAAGGACGCATCAAAAATCAAAACCCCGTGTTGCGAATTGCTGGTCCTGGAGCGAAAACTCGCACTTTGAAAAGCCGCCAAATGATAGATTTCAAACCTCATTGCAGCGTTTTTACCCAGTTTTCAGCAGTTTCTTTTGCTTTTCTATCTGTTTTACGTCATTTTCTCCTTTCTAATCTTCTTTAAACAATCTTCACTATTTATGATGTCAGATGTTCGAACAACCTTCACTTTTGACGCCCTGTCTCTAGACTATCGAGGGTATGCTCACCTCCCAAAAACGTCGACCGGGGGGGGGGACTTCAGATAACTGAAGAACTCTCACCTAACGGCCCCCTAGGGCCAACAACTGTGACCTAACGGCCCTCTTTAGGACCACAAATACGATGGCTACAGCGGCATAAAAGTAAAAAAAAAGTAAACGTGTTAGTCAAAAGGTCTATTTATAAGTAAAACCCCGCTAGACTTTGTGCGTTTCATCAAGTACATTTTGTTATGACGTACTGCGAAGAAAGTAGGTCGATCCAGGCAGTAACCGCCGAGAACCAGAATTTCGAATGATAAAATAACGAAAAATCGTGAAAAATCATTCCGCTGTTACAAATCTGCTGGCTGAAGACTTCCGCAGTTGCGACTTCATAGGTTTTGAAGGGTAAGTGTTGTTCTACCAGACATTGAAAGAAACAGTTTGATTTGAGGAGTGGCCGCCGAGAACGAGAATTTTGAAAAACCTTAAAAATCTTCTCAATTTTAGGTTGCTTAATGACAACCGGACTTTGAAGGTGTGTGATGTTGCGACTTCATAGGTTTTGTAGGGTGAGGTTTGCTCTATCAGAATATGTCTTAGCTGTACCGATCCACTGAAACATCGCCGAGATACAGGTTCTTTAAAAAGCAGGTAAAAAACCGTTTTTCAGCTCATAACTTCTTCAGAACTGCATAATTCATGTTGCAACTTCATAGGTTGGATTCTCCTCTTCAAGAGCTTTCAAATGATATATAACATGTTGGAAATTCACGCCTCCCACGGCATATGCCCGGGGGTGGAGTGCCTCTCTTCACTAATTTTCCACTGGCGGCCTCTCGCCAATACAGTGAATGGGCGGGGTGGAGAATTAGTGAAGAGGAGTAATCCACCCCGGGTTAGAGTCACAAGAAACATTGAATCCCTCACATATTATATATCATCTGAAAGCTCTTGAAGAGGAGAATCTAACCTATGAAGTCGCAACATGATTCATGCAGTTCTGAAGAAGTTATGAGCTGAAAAACGGTTTTTTACCTGCTTTTTAAAGAACCTGTATCTGGGCGATGTTTCAATGGATCGGTACAGCTAGGACATATTCTGATAGGGCAAACATAACCCTACAGATCTTTGAAGTCGCAACATCACACACCTTCAAAGTCCGGATTTATAAGAGTTTAAATGTCAGTTGTCATTAAGCAACCTAAAATTGAGAAGATTTTTAAGGTTTTTCAAAATTCTCGTTCTCGGCGGCCACTCCTCAAATCAAACTGTTTCTTTCACTTTCTGGTAGAACAACACTTACCCTTCAAAACCTATGAAGTCGCAACTGCGGAGGTCTCCAGCCAACAGATTTGTAACAGTGGAATGATTTTCACGATTTTTCGTTATTTTATCATTCGAAATTCTGGTTCTCGGCGGTTACTGCCTGGATCAACCTACTACATAGATATATGCTCTTAACACTTTCTTTTACATTCCTTTTGCTTATTTTCCTTCTTTTGAGCTTTAGCAAAAAAAATTTCAAAACCCAAAAGTGAAGGTGGTCACCCTGTACCAGCTCAAAAGTGAAGGTAGGCGGAGAATCGGCTCCGACTATCGCACCTCTGCTTCTGCTGTCCGCAAAGTCTTATGATGGAGCAGATAATGTGCAAAAATAGATTTGTGTATGGCTAAAATGTCTCACAAGCTGAGCGTATGGCCAAAACAAAAGGACTTTGTTTATCAATGCAATTATACTTTTTAGCTCCAAAGCCTCGAGATTAGCCTTGCAAAAAGCCAAGAACTTCACACATGATCACATGCATTGCTCTAGCCTCATCGCAGAGCTTTGCTAAAGCAAAAGCTGGGTTTTGATGTTTGACCTCGTGCAAATTCTAGAGCATAGTTGAGGCTGGTTAAAAAAATCTGAAGAAGTTCTCCATTGCCGACGCAAAAAAAGTTTTTCTAGGTCGTGAAATATCTCCAATTTTACAATAGATGATTATGGAATCGACTGAATTTTGCATTTTGGCGTTTTCTTCTTGGCTAGAAAACATGTTTTACCCCGCTATTTCTTGAAAATGAGGAAATTTCGAGGTGAGCTGCTTACGCATGGACACGTAGACGGCTTTAGATGTCATCTGTCAAATGTGACCAATTCTATCACTTCTATGAGAGACCACGAGCAACGAATCACATAATCACTGAAAAATCTGTATACGAAACAAGCAGAGTTCAGTTTCTTGATTGTTTAAAAAAACCAACCTAAGGTAGTTCACTGACAAGTTTTGTAACACGATATCTTACTGAAACATCGGGCGACATAAAGAACAGCTGTCAAGATTAGAGGCGTAGACGTGAGCACTAGTATCATATAACAGCCTGTGTTGTATACTCAGTTTGACGTTTTGGTACTGTAGTAGCTCTATGATGACCAGGTTTTTTGCACAGAGATTATGTGAAAAAGCGTTTTTATTATCCCATGTCTTTGCTGCTTCATGTATGCAATGATGTCGCATCAATCAAACGTACAGCTTATAAGGAAATCTTCCTTTTACGCTGGAGCTTGCCAGCAGTAAATGACTATGTATGCGCAAAAGCTCTAAGTAATAATCTTGATGAGTAGGTGACAAAAAACATTCGAACCCTTTAGCAGGAAAGACCTTTTAACATCTAAAAGCCAAGAGTAGGGACACCTTACTCATCTGCCAAAAATTTCAGGGGGGACATCACCATACATACCAAGTCCGTGCCAAGGTCATTACAACTGTCATCCCCCGCTCAGGTGCGTCGAAGGACTCTGCGTAAACGGCTTTTTTTGCAAAACAGACGCCTACTGTGATCCACGATTCGAATGCAAGGAGTACAAGTGTATCCCTATGCCCAGATGGAGGCCTCATAATAAACTGAGAATATGCGATAACGCTCCGTGCAGATCAAACACCGTTTGCATAGACTTTTTCTGCCTGGCAAATGTGCACTGTAAAAGTGACCTAGAATGTGGCAACGGAAATGGCGCTGTAAGACTTAGTTGTGTACAATCACTCTGCCAGATCTCGCTTACACCACCTCGGCCACCTCCGCCTCCTCCACCACCTCCGCCTCCTCGAACAGAAAGACCACCTCCGCCTCCTCCACCACCTCCGCCTCCTCCACCACCTCCGCCTCCTCAAACAGAAAGACCTCCATCAGCACATGTTGGAATGCCTTGCCCGGATGGTGTTTGTCCTCCTCCGTATGCTTGCATCAATGGTGTCTGCTTACGCGGCCTGTTTTGCACAACTAACCATGAATGTAAGGATTTCCGATTTCAGTGTATTCAACGAAATTGTATACCCAAGCCTAAATGGAGGCCCGGTAACGTTGTGCTGATGTGTTTCGGTTCTTGTCCACCGCCAGCTGCTTGCATAAACAACTTTTGCGTCCATCTACACTGCAAGAATGATTATGAATGTGGTAGTCCGCAATACAAATGCATAGAATCGGTCTGCGTTGTTGATAACAAATTTCCGCTTACAACATCTACGCAAAACCCGCAGACGCCAAATCCTTCATATGGAATACCACGCGGTGTGCCTTGCACAACTGACGAGGAATGTAGCGATCCACGATTCGAATGCATTCAGAGAAACTGTGTTCCCATGCTTCAATGGAGGCCAGGGGGTGGTTTGATGTTCTGTAAAATTTATAATTGCCCTTCATCAGCTTCATGCGTCAACTATTTTTGCGTAATCAATTTGCCTTGTCGTAGTGATTTTGACTGCGGCCTTCCAAATCTCGTATGCATACAGTCAATCTGTATGGTACTACCGAAGTGGATGCAAAACCCTACTCTATCTGTGCAGACTGAGAATGTGCGATGCACTAGCGACTTAGATTGTCGATATGAAAGCTTTAGATGCATCCAATCTGTGTGCATGCGAATTGATGTTACCGTTATGGAGTCTAAATACCCCTCCGTGACTCCAATTTAGTTTATGTATTTGCATGTTCATTGCTAAATGATTTTGGGCAAATAAATGGACTGATAACCTGCTCATTCCCATAAGCAAAGTTTAAAACTTTATGAAAGTTCTCACCATCCAATAACAGTCTTTACTCTGGTGAGAAAATTGCCAACAGGTGAGTTCCGTTAGTTTTTCAGTTCCATAGCCTTTTGGCAAATGCACTCATGAACTTCCCAGGTCTTAGGGTGAAATTCGGGTCGCTGTGGTACGACTGACATAAATGCAATTCTCACATATATTGGTATTTGTATTAAATGCACTCAATATGTAAACAAAGATTTGCAGGCAAACTCGATGAAGGGAACACTTCACGCGCTTAGACAATGGATGGAAAAGGTATCTGCACAAAACTTCGCACAAAGCACTGGTCCACGGCCATGTTCCACTGGAAATACTCATCCTGTACTGAGTAATCGGTCATGTGTGGCAGGGTAGTGCAGTATACCTCAAGCGTGATTGTCTAAGTAAGTATTAGTGTCCCACATCTTTAACGAAGAACATGCATTGCAAAACTGATTTTTGGAAGCAGGCAGAAGTACTATTTTGTTGGAGTGGATTATCCAAAAGAAACAATAAGTGTAGCGCAATTTTCTAAATTTTCATAGATTAGATTGATGCAAAAGCTCTGTCAAATCATTTTTCAAAAATGAAAGAAATCTTAATCTTGTTCTCTCAGCGGATTTGCACAATCCAAATCTTGCTAGATAGAGGAAAGCTTTCTTTTTGTGATAATAGGTTGGCTAATAAACAATTTCGGTCGTTTTTGCGGCTCTTACAAATGCTACAAATGTATTTGTCCAGTCTTTGATATCTTTGGCTAGAGCATTCCTATGGGAATTGAAATAATAAATTTGGTTTTTTATGAAAGTGTTCTGAAAATCACAATTTTTATTGTTATTCGCTAAGTAGGGAAAACTCTTCTATATCCAAATACTGAACTGCTGTTCTCTGCATCCATTACAGCATAAAAACGAAGCTTAGGTAGTAGGAGTACTGAGCTTTTGGAAATCCAGCCATGTTGAAGCTTAACTTTCTCTACTGATGATAAAATCCTAATTATTCGAAATGTGATAGAGGAAGCTTTGAACTACTTTCACACAAAGAATCATGGACACAAAACAACAAAAAATATTTTCATAAGGATTTACATGCAACGAACTTATTTTTAGCCAACCTAATAGTTGGTTAGCTGCTCCCTAACAAGGGCTAAAGGTGGAAGTAGGAGAGTTAAAGTTAGTTTAACTTTGGTTATTTTAAGTTAGGCTGCTAAAGATCTGGAATTTGCGGTAAATTTTTGAGCAAGCGGTACAGTAAGTCTTTTAATCCACAGCTTATGATAATGCAGAGCTTGTGTCAAATGAGCATTTCTGTGAAGAATTATGATTTTCGAGAAAAATTTCAAAATTTAATTCGATGTTTTGTATTGCTTAGCCAAAAATCATAACTCTTTACATAGATGCTCATTTGACACAAACTTCGCACTATTTTAAAGTGTGAATCAAAATACTTTCCATAATGCTTGCGGGGATCTTATGTTTTGGTTTAGGGTCCTAACTCAGAATGACCGATGTTTAGGTGGTTTTATTCTCCTGCTTCCATCTCGAAAAGTTGCCCTTTGTTAGAGAGCGGCACCGGCACTATCACAAAAAAAAGATGTAGTTTAAATTTTTAGTTGTGGCAACATGAAGTTTCGGCGAAGCCTCCAATAGTAGAGCTGCCTATGTCGAGCAATCCTCGTCTTCAGAAGTCGTGGCTTTACCGCTATTAGCCAAATGATGGTATGCGACCGTCTTCTCCGAATTTGCACTAAATTTCGGAGAAGGCGGTTGCACACCACCATGGATGCGATAGCGGTAGAGCCACGGCCTCCTAAGAAGAGGATTGCTCGAAACATTAGGCCGCTCTACTAATAAAGGCTTCGCTGAAACCTCGTGTTGGGGAAACTTAAAAAACTAGCAAACAAAACTCTATTATTCAAACGCCGAGGTTTAATGGAAAAAAGGACAATTAGGCTGTAAAAAAAAGGAGTTTCTTCTATTTAACGAAATTGTGTTTGTGCAAATCCGTTGAGAGAGCAAGAAGTTACACTTTTTTTTGAAAAAAATGACGCGACAGAACTTCTGCATCAACCTAATATATCTCGAGCTATAACTCGCTGAAACAAGTGATTGGTCCTGACCGTTCGAAACATAGTGTTTGCTAATATGGTCTCAGTAGTCAGCATTGTAATGATAGCAGTCATGAATGTTTGTGTGCCACTTCTGACTCGCGGACACCTGCTTCGACAAAGTGAAGACTTTTGATAGAATTATTTGATGATCAAAATGTCGAGCTTCGAAGATCTACCAATCAAAATTATATACGCTGACTACAGAAGTGCTTAACTGACGCGCCAATTGCAGTACACACTCCCACAAGAGGAAAATTCTCAAAGCCTTTGTTTGCTATTATTTGCGAAGCAGCCGCCATTTGTTAACTTTTTTCGTTATTGTTGCTGTTTTCGAATAAAATCTGTTGTCTCCATGTGCTTGCTCTCATTTATTTAGCCCGAACTTTGTTTTTACACAAGTTTTACCACAAAAAGACATTTGGGTACACCCAAAAATTTTTCTCTATGACACCTTGTTCACTCTGTCCGCTTCTTACTGAAGCTCGTCCAGAAATCAGCATCAAAATTCCGAAAAATCAAAATTTAAGCGCCGTAAAAGGCATAAGTTTATTATTGGCGAATGTATTAGTGGCGATCAATAACCAACTCATAGCTAATAAAAACTGTGTCGTACAACGTTTGAAATTGGATACCCTTCATTCTACATCTTTTGCTATATCTTTTCCTTGACTATAACCTGAAAAAACGAAAATTTTTTCGTTTTTCAAAGCAATGCTGAGCAAACACATCTATATCACCAAGCCCAGGTAAGAAAGACTGTAGATTTTCGGCCTATTAGGAGCGGTAAATTTGAGAAATGTCGAGTTCAACACTAAAACTGAGAAGAAGAAAACTAAATTTGTTTTCTACACCACTCGGGATAGGTTGAAAATTTACAGTTACACTCACTAAGTTTCTAGCATAGAATTACGTATTGGAAACGGCTCAGTATCGTTTTGAGGAAAGCACGAAGATGATAATTTTTTCAGTTCTTAGTCAAGGAAAAAATAAAGCAACTAGGCTTATATGAAGTTGATATCGAAGGTTGGATGTACGCAAGTGGAAGGTCCCCAAAAATTTTTCGACGAAGATACGATTTTTTGCGACTCTTTAGTAAATGGAGCATGGAATCATAAGACAATGTTCTCTACACAAAGGTGAGCAACGAATCCGCGATGCAAGCGACACGCGAGCTGCTTCTATGCTGTGAAAATGCCTTAACATTTACGGATTTTCCATATCACAAATCATGGTTTATTGAAAGCGTGTTTCGGAATGCAATATTTTTCGATGGTGTGGGAGGTACTTAATGCAGATATGAGGACTAGCAATGGAATCATGCTTAGCACCGGCACTTGCGATAGCATTCATGGCTAAAATAGAAGCGCCTATCTCAAAACACAGTCCCTTACCTACCGTACATAAATTGATGATTGTATCGTGGTTTGAGCGACACAAGGAGAGCTTGATGAGTGTACGGATTACTCAGTAAGCAATCCGAAACATGAAACTGATCAGAGAGAAGCTGGAAAACGAGTGATTACCATTTCTAAACGTTTAAGTAAACATCATCATGGATATGTCCGCGACGAAATGGTACCGTAAACTAAGCTATAAGAATAGATAGTAGAGCAAGTGCGAGCCTCTGTGAAGCAGAGGTGACGCATTGGTAAGTTATAATAACGGGCTAACTAAGGGTTGTTTACGTTTGTGTGTGTGTGTGTGTGTGTGTGTGTGTGTGTGTGTGTGTGTGTGTGTGTGTGTGTGTGTGTGTGTGTGTGTGTGTGTGTGTGTGTGTGTGTGTGTGTGTGTGTGTGTGTGTGTGTGTGTGTGTGTGTGTGTGTGTGTGTGTGTGTGTGTGTGTGTGTGTGTGTGTGTGTGTGTGTGTGTGTGTGTGTGTGTGTGTGTGTGTGTGTGTGTGTGTGTGTGTGTGTGTGTGTGTGTGTGTGTGTGCTCAAGCCAACCTCTTGAGCCCAAATTTTGCACATCCTAGCAGCGGGAAAGTCCATTGTGCAAAAGCACAGCGGATCCGATAAGTTGGATCCCCTAGAAATTGCGCGTAAAACGGGTCCACTAAAATTCTGGCCAGCAAAATTGGGTCCGTATATGAACCTTTTGCAAAGTCGTGGAT